AAAAAATAAAAACCGCGCACGCACACTGGTCAATCCGAGTAGGCAGAGGGTAGGCGCGCGCGATTCGGTCGCGAGAAGGTAACGGTGGCGGTGGCGGTGGTGGTGGTGGTGGTGGTAACGGTGGCGGCGGCAGTGTATAGCAGTATTGTGTCGACGGTGGTGGTAGCGGCGGCGGCTTCGACGTTGATGGTGGTGGTGGTGGTGGTGGTGGCGGCGGCGGCGACGACGACGTTGTCGGCGGCGTCTGCGTTCGGGGTGGGAGGGCAGCGGGGTGTTATAGGAAATGCACCGTGGGCCGGCGGCGGGGCGGGGCGTTAGACAAAAAAGACCGGCGGGCCGGGGGTGCTGCCGATTCCCCACCGCTCCCTGCCCGGCGAGAACGGTTCGGCCGTCTTCGGCGCCGGCCGTGCATCGGACGTCTTCGTGTTTCCCTCCCCCTACCCGTCAACGTTGACGTCCTGGGTGGGGGTGGACGGGTGTGTGTGTGTGTATGTGAGTGTGTACGTGTGTGCGTGAGTGTGTGTGTGTGCGCGCGTCGGGCGCGGCGACGGCGAAATGCAGTTTTTCGACAGCCTAATGCATGTTGCACATTTCGTGTTCTCCAAGGACGACGGCCCGACCAACCTAAATGAGCGGTCCTCCTGCATTCAGATGCACTGTGCTCGGATGCACCAACGGGCGGTCGCAACGACTTCGAAATAAATTTATTACCAATCTGTTTTATAATTTATTTTTATTTTGACTCGGTTCATTTTTCAATTCCGACACCGCTTAAATCGTTTGATTATTTTATTAAATATAAACTATCAATTTTTCTATTTCAATATTTTTTTTTTTTTTATTATTATTATTAATGTAATCATCGTAATTGTTATTCATCCGCAGTGTGAGTTCGTTTGTGCTCGTGATTATTCTAATTCTATAAAAGCGAATTTGGTTTTAATTTTTTTTTTCGTTATTATTTTATTATTAACTCCGTGTTTACGTGATCGTGTTCGTGCAAGTGGAAAACCATTTTTTTTTTAGTCATTGAACTCTACAGTTATCACTTTTCGTACGTCGCCTCACATATACTCGGCGGCCAAAAGCTTTCAGAAACGGTACGTTTACAATATTATTACTACACGCGACCATTTGTTTAACGTCTGGATTTTAGGTCAACCGCTGTTTTGCAGCGTCCAAAGATTAGGTCGAATTTATCAGGCGTTGTTGACATTGCGTCTGACCTCTCTCTTCGTATATTCCTATCTCCCTCGCACACTAAATTCATTATCTACACGTCTCTCTCGCTAGACCTCGTATAAAATTCAATTTTAAGACCACTTAATTGGTTACCGTGATATTAGTATAATTATTTATTTATTTTGGTGTGTGTGTAAGTCGATATATATGTGTGCGTAGATTTTTGATGTGAACATTTTGAGTATAACCACGTAATCACATATACTTACGATTTTTTTTTTTTTTTGTTTTTGTTAAACCTATGCATAGGACACGTCTCGAGAGTGTTGTTTATTTAAAAAGGCTTGTTAAATCTTAAGTGCGATTTCAACCGTATAGTGCTCATTATACGTGTACTATACTCGATAATTTTCATTATACATACATTTAATTGTGTTCACAGTAATATTATCGATGCGGACGAGTATAACTCTAACATTATTAAATAAAACTCACACGTGGTTGAACAAACGGTTGTTTTTCAAAAAAATTTCACGTATATGTGCATTGCTTAGAGAAAAGGTAGGGAAGTCAGTGTGTTAGTGCAATAGCAATTATGCAAATTATCGCCGCCGGACGCGGGCCCCTGTGATTTGCCGGTTATTAGCCAAATTGGATTCTAACGTCACGGAACGTTTTCGCACGGTCCATTATCATTTTGCACGACTGACGATTTTTTTTTTCTTTCATTATTCCATTCGATAAACAGTTGTTGGGCATGTACATACAAGTACAAGTACACATAATCCAACCTTACGTACGTTTTTTTTATCATAAAATATGAGGAACCGGTAATAAACCGCGATCAATCTCTTTATTTTGCATATTATTACCTATTATTTTTTTACTCGTATAAAACTTCTTCGTGTACATGGCGTCATGTGCTCGAAAATAATATACATAAGTATAGCATACGTGATAATTTGGAATTGGAAATGGGCTAACATATAAAACAAAATACTCTCCAAAAAACCTGTTTCACGTTGTGTTTTTTATGAGTAGACGTATACGTATATGCATAATGTAATGATTGCAAACAAGAAATGGACGCATATTCAAGGGGACATTTTCGTTGACACGTTTTTTCCATATTAATATTTTGCAGGTTGCACTTGGGTCATTCGTCACTTATGTTTTTTTTTTTTTTTATTTCGTCCAGCGGTACACAGGCTAATGTACTTTCAAAAATAGTAAACACACATATACAACACAATAACGACAATTTTCGACCACGTTTTTGGTATATTATATACCACCGTATATTAATAGTACACAATTCGTACAACTATAACGTTTTCGTATACGTATATACTCGTATACATTAAAATATAATGTACGTTTTTAGTCGCACTGCACTGCTAAAATATTTCCATCAATAAATTATTGTAGAATATTATTACATTTACATGAATTTTAAATCGTATAATCTTAGTGGTGGTAATATAAAACTGTCGATCGCGTTGATATTATCATCTGTGTCGAATGCAATACTATAATTTACCAATTGCCTCCTTCTTCCAGGAAGTGTATAATATAAATTATCAGCAATGCGAGTTGTACTTTTTATAAATTTTTTTTTTTCGGTTAAGTTGATTGATAATGAATTTAACCCACACCGCGGTTGGGTAGGGAAAAAAAAGGATTGAGAAAATTGACCGATAACATTTGCCGAATAATCTTTCAGTTTCGACGTGACCTAATATATAATTTACTGCTGCAGTCGTGTGTATTCATATAATTAATAATATATATACGCTTACACGCGCGCGCGCTCATTACATTATACCAGTAAACCACATGGTTACGTGAAAATAAACATTTCAGCATTTCAGTTAAAAACAAATTTATGCAAATGTAGTATACAATATGTACATCGACAAAGAAAAAAAACTTTACATTCACGCAAATGCATCCATATCTTTATAGTGGTACTCTACACATATACATACCGACGAATCACGAAGCTCTACACATTTTATATTATAACGACATTGACAGGTTTCCACTTAACACAATAGTATACAATTTAAAAAACGGAACACATTATACGAATTGAATATAATTTTGGTCCATATATACACCAATATATATATATATATATATATATGTGTGTGTGTGTGTGTGTTCAAAAACCTTTATGGAAAATAATAAATAACGCAATTGATTTATTACCGTATAATATAAAGTTATGCACAAATAATAAATGTATTGTAAATTAATGAAAATCCGTTATTATATTTTGCGTGTGTATTAATATTTGTGTAATCGATCTAAAATCCACAATAAAATGTTGCATTTATACATTGAGTAGTGCGCACATATAATGTATAAATCATACATTATATTTTAAACTAGACGTGTCTAAATTTTATAACGTATATACCGCGAACAAATATTAATTTGAAAAATTTTAATATAATACTGAACACAACTACTATAATACAATATATATCATATGTATACACTCGTGTATTAAGTTTGTTTGAGTAGAGTAGATCCTACGATCGTGCCATTTCTATCACTACATAAGTGTTCTAAGAGAGCCATAAATTTAACATAATAAATGTCGCTTCGTAATAACGATTAAAATGTAGTAAATAAATATGTCTGAGTTATGTATATAAATTGAAAGTGAATTCAACATAAACAGTTCAGACGCACAACGCGAGTAGTTTAATTAAACGCGAATCTTTAGCATTATTTAAACCGTGATGACTTTGAGGTTACGTATACACGTATATGCGCAGTGTGTCTATACGTGTGTGTATATTTATAATCGTAAGGTTGAAAAAGAAATCATAATTACGTCTGATTTGCGACAGGAGTGGTAGGGATATAATTAAAGTACCTGTGCAAAAAAGAACTATATAAACATCACTTCAAAGTGATATACTACGTATACGGGACGTATTAAACATATAGAATATATTCAAGTAAATAAAATTGCCATGAAATTGGCCTCTTTCGAGGTGTGATTTGACATTTTGAATAGCGCTTTGTATTGTATCTGCGCCGTTTACTCCGTTACACATACACAGTATATGAGTTTGATTTTTTTTCGTGTTGATATACAATGTAAACGATAGCGGCATATTCGCTTACTCTACGTGAAACGATAGTATAATATAAGCGATATAGAACGCATATATTTATTTTTACACGCCTTACGATGTGTAATATTTAATTTTGATTCGCGAACGGATCGATGAAATGTGGCGCGCGCACCAACATTATGAAGCATTTTTTTAGGGATTTGATTGTATTTTGTAAACGTTTTCGCTTCTTTGCCGGGATGAAAATCACGTTGTTAACACACCCTCGAATATATAGCGAAATTGAATAATATACCGCATAGAACCCTCGCGAGCGCGTCTGCACATATTGGCCGCAAATATAATACGTTTAAACGTGTAGTTTAAGTGACGAAAAAAGAAACCACGCGTATTTACAAAATAAGGATATTATTATATAGTCCGGTCACCGCGGACGCCGTTCGTTTTCCCGGCGGATTTGTGCCAAAGACGTGACTCATTGTTTTAAAATTTGTTCGCGGGCTTTCGGGAATTTGGAGGAAAAAACATTTCGCCAGAAACATTTGCGTACTGCACAAGTAGCTCGAGTTTTTCCATACGATTTCTGAATGTGTGTGTGTGTGTATATATATATATACATTGACATACGCGCGTGTTGCATTGCCATTTTGGTATACGCAAGACACTTGGCCGCGGATATTTGCACTATATGGAGTTCTGAAAACCAGGATTACCAAATTGAATCCTCGCAACTCGTATAGAATGATATATCAATGATTTGTCTTTGTTATTCGAGTACGGTTCGAGTACAAAATATTAAATTTAATCTTAAAAAAAAAAAACATAATGGAATTAATGTTTTTGTAATTTATTTAGCTCAAATGTGAACAATAATATTGTATATATACACATATATGTGCTTCTCATCTGCCGGTTAGGCAACTTCAACCATCGGTTTGACGTGTAAGAAAATTAATTCGCATGTCTATAAAACATATACACTCTATACATGAACGCAACAGCATAACTAAAAATAAATATTTTAATTCGGCCGCTGGATTACTCTTGCGAATTCCTAGAGCTCGGTTTGTGATCCGCTGGTGAAATATTATACATTTAAGCTGTGGCCTACGAAGATTCGCTAGCGCTCTTGGCAAACTTAGAAGTAAATTTTTTTTAACCAATTAAAATTGTAATGTGATGATATTTTTTTTAACCTTTCATTTTTAAGAATAACATTTATATTTATAAGTTATTATTACATTGGAGATTTTAAACTTAGAAAATTTTACTATTCTCGCTTTAAGACTGACGAATTCATAGATAATTGTTTTCAAATTAAATTTCCTATATGAATTGTCTTATGATATTTTCATAATTTCCTCGTAAAATGTACAATTGAACAAAACCTACATATTTCAAAGAGTATAAAGAAAAATTTTCGTTTTGAAAGTGAAATATAAATAAAAAATACAAATTTTGCACTCCTTTGCAATTCGTACCCATGGCGTAGGCACAGTTCACCATGTTCTTGCTTTGCTACGCTTCTGCATCTAAGTTTGGCCAGTTTTTCATAACGCCAACCTCCTAAAAATTAAAAATATCTCATCGTTACGCACCGCAGGAACGCATGATTCAAAGTTTGTGTGATATCATCGAGCACCTGCTGTGGAATAAGACAAGACTTTCTCATCGGTGTTATGAATGTACGGTGAAACCTGCACAAATCAATTTGTTTTTTCGATGTTCGAAACATTTATATAATTTATGTATAAGATATACTAAACAAATATGTATATATATATATATATGAATAGTAACAATAGATAACGTTTTTATCAACTAAT